TTCATCATCTATGTAGAAAACATTCCATGAGTTTATTGTGCTACAACTCCCCCTTTCACCAACTCCAAGAATGTCTTTTTCACAATCATCACGGGTAATAACTGAAAATAGATCAGCAGCAGGTATAAATCCCTATCAGTAATCGATGGCAATCTGTCACTTGTTCCTTGCATGGATAGAGATTTAAGCTAGGAGATATGGATGTATGGTTTAATCTGAAAATGTTTGACTTTTTAGGATACTTTAACGTCATGCAAATTTTCTATCATTTTCTAAGACAATGTGAAGAGAACATCACTCTTCAAGGAGACTTTGCCTGTGAGCACCAGATCCTCCAGATCCTTCAGCTGTGCACGGGGAACTCAACACTGCCGATCCTGACCGCCCTTCTTACGGAGAGTAAGGGTACAGAGAAAGGGTTTCTTGCTTGCATTTAAAAAAATAAGTCACGAGCTCATCCACTTCTGCCTATTTGTGATGTTCATTCTAGCACGTGTGCTTGTGTGCACAAGAGTTCTACCACACTGCAGACTTCCACTGATTAGAAGAGATTCAGTGTGGAGCAATAAAGACAGAACGTAAACACTGTTGCTTCTGACAAATAACCAATAGCAACATCCTAAAGAAGAGTGAGGCCCTCCAAATGAATTGTTTCTAGACACTCTCCCCAGAGGCCCCGTCTCCATGGCTGCTGTCTCCCTTCCTCCCCATAAGACCCATGGAAGGCCAGGTGCAGTGGCTCACACCTGTAATCCCAGTGCTTTGGGAGGCTGAAGCAGGCAGATCACTTGAGCTCAGGAGTTCAAGACCAGCCTGGGCAACACAGTGAGACCTCATCTCTACTACAAATGTTTTTAAAAATCAGCCAGATATGGTAGTGCATACCTGTGGTCCCAGCTATTTCGAGAGGCTGAGGTGGGAGGACTGCTTGAGCCTGGGAGGCAGAGGTTGCAGTGAGCCAAGATTGTGCCACTGCACTCCAGACTGGGTGACAAGAGCCAAGAGCGAGGCTCTATCTCCCAAAAAAAAAAAAAAAAAAAAAGCCTGAAAAAGGATTTCAGGACATCTGTGAAGGAAGACACGGAAAACAACTTTAGAAGAGGGCAACCGTCTGCCAGAAAGAGGAGGGTGCTCCTAACAACTCACGCCAGTTGGCCCTGTGATCTGCCCGCCCTCTCCACCTACGGTTCTACTTCCCACACTGCCTGCCCCTGCCCCACACGGGGTGTGCGCCAAAAGGCGTGTCTCAGAAGCCCTCGGTCTCTTCATTAAAAGATGCCAACCGTTCACCAAAATACCACACACACTAATGGAAACAAAAAGAAGGAAGGGCTACAAAAGAGGAGAAACAAAGAAAACACGTGTGGGGCTCCAAGGACAGCAGACAACAGGAGCTTTTCTATAAGCACAGCCTAATAAACAGCACACCAGGAACAGACACACAGTAAACGCCGCAAGAGGCCTCCCAACAGCCCAGGCAACGGCAGGGGAAAAGCACAATGGGAGAAAACGCTATTGGAAGACAAGGAGGATACAGTGCAACTCTGATCTTTGCAAAGAGATTTGTTATAATGAAGGGATAATTTAAGCAATGTCGTCTAATCTAAGTTTGTGGTGCTTTTGGATTTAATTCATATTTGATTCATTGCAATGTGGAAGCCTAGTGATTTAGAGGCAAGCTAAGTGCAAAAACTACAGAGCACAAGTACGTTTGCAAAACACAGGAAGTCTCTAGAACGTTTTCCCTGCACTGGGTTATGCAGAGCAAGCTTATGTCTGTGACTCCAGGCTTTTCCGGAGGCACCTGAAGCCGGAGGGCCTGGCGGCGTGCCCCATGGGCGCGACCGCTGCTGCAGATGACCCGATTCAGGTGAGACACAGCGCCACGCGTGCTTCGAAGGGCAAAGAGCCAGGTTAAGCACGAGTCAAGTAGCTGTGCTGCTCTTTCCTGATCAGAGCAGGAACTCGCAGCATTTCTCACTGGAAAACAGCCTTCCCTGCAGGATGGAAATCTCAGTTCTGCCTATGGCAAGAATAAAACAGAATTCTTGGAACTTAGACATGAATGTTGTAGAACAATTTTGTCTTTCTTCCTCGAGAGGCTGACAGATTAGGGAAATACTTAACAGAAGATCCATGCTGCCTTCGAAGTCTGGCAGAAAGAGTCAGTCTCTGGAAGCCACGACTGAAAATCATGAGATCCAGGGTAACTTGAAGGACGCGATCAACTGATGCCTGTGGACGACCAACAAGACCAAGGTTGCTCGGCAACTGTGTTAGTTTTCTGTTGCTCCTACAAATTGCCACAAACTTGGCAGTTTAACTCAAAGCCCACTTACAGCTGGGAGCAGCTGAGGGTGGTCCCAGCAGACAGCCAGGAGACAAGCCTGCATCCTACAACCCCAGGAGCCACATGAGGTGAGAGCCCTGACACAGCCTGGCAGGGGCCTGGATGGCAGCCTGGAGACCCGAGGCCAGGGCCCTACGAAGCCACAGCCAGTACATACCGCTGAAGAGGCGTGTGCTGTTGGAAGCCGCTGTGTTTGTGGGAATTCCTCTGCAGTGTATAATGACTATGGAAGCAGGGGCCGTGGTAATAAATGCCTGAAATGCAGGAGGAGCTCTGGTTTCCAGCAGTGGGTAGAGGCTGGGAGGCTTTTGAGGAGCCACAGAAAAAGCAGAGCATGCCTGGAATATCCAGGGGGCAGAAAGGCCATGCCCTGCAGGTCGTGGAGGCAGCTCCTATTGTGCTGAGGCTGGTCCTGCACTCGGGGGGTTTCCTGGTGGGGGGACAGGGCAAGGGTGGAGAAGAGGGCAAATGCGGGAAGAGCTATACGATGGTGGAGTAACTAAAAGCCCAGCGTCTCCAGCCGGAAAAGGTGCTGAAATGAAAAGCCTAACTGATATGGTTTGGGTCTGTGTCCCCACCCAAATCTCATCGTGAATTGAAATCCCCACGTATCAGGGGAGGAACCTGGTGGGAGACGACCGGATCACGGGGTGGATTTCCCCCTTGCTGTTCTTGTGACAGTAAGTTCTCAGAAGATCTGGTTGCTTGAAGGTGTGTGGCTCTTCCCACTTTGCTCTCTCTCTCCTGCTGCCTTGTGAAGAAGGCCCTGGCTTCCCCGTCACCCCCACGGCGACTGTGCATTTCCTGAGGCCACCCAGCCACGCTTCCTGTTAAGCCTGCAGAACTGTGAGTCCAGTAAACCTCTTCATAAATTACTCAGTCCAAGGTAGTTCTTCATAACAGTGTGAGAATGGACTAATATGCCAACTGTCAGGAGGGTGTGCCCCTAAGAAAAGGCTGAGGATGGGCCACACTGCATGTGGTTAAAGCCTCGGGAAGATCAGGAGGTCAGAGTGCAGGCCTAGGAAGGGTCTCTCAAGAAGCGGAGGAAGCATCTCACAGATCCTCAGGCAGAAGAGAGAGTGAAGGGTGAAGGGTGAAGGGTGAAGGTGAAGGGTCAAGGGTGAAGGGGGCAGTCCCTTGGCCGTCTTAGCAGGAGACCGAGGCAGAGATCGTTTCTAAAAGATCTGCAGTTAGGCTCTTGTCTGAGGAAGTGAAGCCTCAGGAAATCTACTGAAGACCCACAGATTCTTGAGAAACGTGTTTCTGCTGAGACATTGTCAGCTTGGACCAATCGGCACAGACAGCAGACAAAACACAAGGAGGCTCTCGGATCCCCAACGTCCCGCTGGCAGGAGGGAGGCGCACAGCCACACTCAGCCACAAGCCACAGTGCCCTCCAAGTGGAAGGCAGGGCCCTCAGAGAGTGGACACAGGGCGGCTGTGAAGTTAAAGTGGAAGGAGGGCTGGGCACGGTGGCTCACGTCTGTAATCCTAGCATTTTGGGAGGCCGAGGCGGGTGGATCACCTGAGGTCAAAAGTTCGAGACCAGCCTGGACAACATGGTGAAACCCCGTCTCTATTAAAAATATAAAAATTAGCCAGGCATGATGACGTGCACGTGTAATCACAGCTACTCGAGAGGCTGAGGCAGGAGAATTGCTTGAATTGCCTGAACCCAGGAGGCAGAGGTTGCAGTGAGCCCAGATTGTACCACTGCACTCCAGTCTGGGTGACAGAGTGAGACTCTGTCAAGAAAAGAAAGGAAAAGAAAGGGAAAAGGAGAGGGAAAGGGAAGGGAAACATACACAGAACTCGGTGAAAGCAGAATTTTAGATCAGGACGTCCTGGTGACCAGCCTGACACACAATCCCTACACATCAATATTCTGAAGCCAGGGTGTGAGAGGGAAGATCAGACAGAATGCAATAAAAGTATCTAAACAGTCATTCAGCCTGTGGGACAAATGAAGGCAACATTTTAGAAACTACATATCAAAAACTAGAAAGAATTTGTTCTGGCTTACATGGTAAAGAAAGAGATCCTAGGAGATATTTCTCCATAGAGCCAGAATTCAGAAAGGAGTCATTGACGATGACCAAACAAGAACTGGGGAACAGGGAGCCTCAGTTCAGTGACTCAGGCGTCTGCATTGACACAAACTAAGGTCCCAGAGCCCCAGAGCCCCGAGAGCCTGGAGAGCCCAATAGCAGGCAGGAAGAAGCCTACCAGGCGTATCACCAGTCAACGCGCGTGTGTGCATGGAACTGCCCTTACCAAAGAGGACTGGAAGACGGTCACCAAGACACTATAGGAAAGAGGTGAAGCCCTGCTGCTCCCTGCAACGTAGAGTTTCTGCATCAGGACGCCTGTGTCTGCCTCGCCAGAATCTCCAGCACCGTACTTCCCTGACCAAGGGGTCAACGTTCCTGGAACAGCTGATTCCAGCTTCAATTCTTAGAATCTTAAGATTCTAATAATTTCTGCAAACATCTACTCACAATATCACAGCTTCTCTGTGTATGCAACACCTTCATTAATGGCTAAATCTTTTAAGTCATGTGTTGACCCATTAGCAATACAAAACCAGTCTTAGGAAATACCTCCAGTTACCTCCAGTGACCAGGTACCTTAGAAAAGCCGCACTTACTTCTGTTGTAGCAGGTCGCCAGCACGCCTCTGTCTGCAGGGCTAGCGCTAATGTGCCAGATTTCACCCGCTTGATGGAGGAGGACATTTTTATTTATAATGTTGTTTTCATCGTCAAAATCTATGATGTGGATCTAGAAATACAAGAAAAGAGCACATCAGGATCTCAAACACTTTCCTCAGTACCTTCATCAGACGTCATGATTACAAAGAATAATCACATGCACATTTCATGACAGATACATCTTTAATTGATTGTTATTATGCCAACAGTATGTACTTCTATAATTTCTTACTGGACTCCTCTCCAAAGACAAGTTAGAAAATCCCTGTGGAACATTTTTAAGATTGCAAGCTACGTAAGATTGCCCTCTGGTCACATCCAGTCTTAAAGAAAGAAGGCACCAAATGCTGTGTCTTCAAGTGGTTCTAAGACTGAGCCACTGTTGGTGTCAAGGCCAGAGCTGCTCAGGGCTGTCCCTATCAGCAAGGTCCTCCCAGCCTGCTGCATGGCTGCTGGGGAGGGCAGGGGCAGCAGGCCACGACTGCCTAATTAGGTCTGGGACTGACCGTGCCTGGCCCACTCTGTCTATAGTGGGCAGAACTCGACTCATATGTCAGACATGATTAAGGTGGGAGAGAGTAAGAAAGGGCTGTATATTCACACGCTTTTATTCTCTTTTCAAAAACAAGTCCAACAGCCACTGGTGCCTATTATCTTATGACATTAAATGGTATAACATTTTAGCCACTACATAAGAAAGTTAAATATACTATCGCCATGCTTTCCAGGATAACTTTTAGAGGAATTGAAATGATTTCACATTTAATTTCTTACCAATACCCAAGTCAATGAGAAAACGTAATTCCTCTTTTAAAAGTAAATCTGTACTAAGAAAAATATTCATGGATCTGCACAAAAGATTTATATCCAAGTACGTTTACTATGGCATTGATTATTGTAATAAAAAAATTAGAAGTCACCTAAATGTTTAGTAATAGGAAACTATTCAAATAAATTGCAGTATTTGAGGGTAATATAATATTATGACGCCATTCGGTATACTGCAGACTACTCAGTGGCATGGAACGATGTAATATATATTTTAGAAGATAATATAAAAAAGAAACTGTACGAATGCTACATCCTATTCTAGTTTGTTTGTTTTTAAAAAGTATGCATGTCCAAACAAAAAACTAGCAGGTGCCTGAATGGTGTCTGCATGGTGGAATTGTAGGTGGTTTTCCCTTACTTCTTTGTGCTTTATTTATACTTTTAACATTTTTGCCTAATGAGGTCTGAGACTGACCGTGCCTGGCCCACTCCGCAATACGTCTGCAATCAAAACAAACATTAAATGCTATTTTTAAACTGTCTCCACAATACCCAGTAGCACCTACACGTCACCCAAGCCTCAGATGGTCCTTTCATTATTTCCAGCTGCTTCTCTCAGGGTCTGATCTGTGTCCCGTCCAAATCTCACATCAAATTGTAATCCCAATGTCGGACGTGGGGCCTGGTGGGAGGTGACTGGATCATGGGGATGGGCCTTCACGAATGGGTTAGCACCATCCCCACTTGGTCCAGTCCTCACGAGAGTGAATTCTCCTGAGACCTGGTCATTTAAAAGTGAGTGGCATGGGCTGGGCGTGGTGGCTCACGCCTGTAATTGTACCACTTTGGGAGGATGAGGCAGGCGGATCACCTGAGGTCAGGAGTTTGAGACCAGCCTGGCCAACATGGTGAAACCCCATTTCTACTAAAGATACAAAAAATTAGCCAGGCGTGGTGGCGGCGCCTGTGGTCCCAGCTACTCGAGAGGCTGAGGCAGGAGAATGGCGGGAACCCGGGGGGCGGAGCTTGCAGTGAGCCCAGATCGTGCCACTCACTCCAGCCTGGGCGACAAAGTGAGACTCCGTCTCAACAACAACCACCACCAAAAAGTGAGTGGCATCTTCCCCTCTTCTTGCTCCTGCTTCTACCATGTGAGGCGGCTGCTCCCTCTTCGCCTTCCGCCATGATTGGAAGTTTCCTGAGGCCTCCCCAGAAGCAGATGCTGCTATGTTTCCTGCACAGCTCCAAAATGTGAGCCAAAAAAACCTCTGTTCTTTATCAATCACCCAGTCTCAGTTATTTCTTCACAGCAGTATAAGATCACCCCGAGTCATTCTGGACTTGCTCAGAATGGAATTCATACCCGGCCAGTGCCAGAGCCGTGTGAGCTGAGCCAGAATCTCCCAGGAGGAGAGCGGGGCCGCCAGTGCCGGGTGCTGGGGCCAGGGAGCAGACAGACATGGCCGGCCTGCCCGCCGCAGAGCGGGAGCCCGGTGAGCATGTGCGCCCGCCCTTTCCATTCGGGGCCACTGCAGTTCCCACAGCAGGTTCAGAAACATTCCCAGTGAACAGCTTCCAATTACAAATCACACATCTAAGAACCAGGGAAATGAACACAGCACTTGTTTTTATAAGTGAAACTTTACTGTACTCTTTTTCCTTCCCACACCCAAGGAAAGTTTACCTATGAACAGTTTTTTTCCTCTGTGGACCTGTTACACATTTATAATATACTATTAATTATTAAATAATTACTCAGTGATATTGAGAAAAATATTTGGCAGAAATACATATGTCCTATGATGCCACATCTCTACAATTGGGGATAGACCCTACAAACACCAAAGAAAAGGCAAGTGCAAGAATTTTCACAGCAGATATATTTTTGATAGCCAAAGCAGTAAACATCTCAGATGTCCATCAACAACAGAATGGGTAGGCCAGGTGCGGTGGCTCACACCTGCAATCCCAGCACTTTGGGAAGCCAAGGCGGGTAGGTCACCTGAGGTCAGGAGTTTAAGACCAGCCTGGCCGATATGGTGAAACCCCGTCTCTACTAAAAATTTAAAAATTAGCCGGGTGTAGTGGCAGGCGTCTATAATCCCAGCTATTTGGGGGGCTGAGGCAGGAGAATCACCTGAACCCAGGAAGGGGAGGTTGCAGTGAGCTGAGATCACGCCACTGCACTCCAGCCTGGGTGACAGAGTGAGACTCTGTCTCGAAAAAAAAAAAAAAAAAAAAAAAAACCCACAATAGAATGGGTAAATCAGTTGTGGTATATTCACAAATGCAATTCTCAGAGTAATGACAAGTAACAAAAACACACGCACAGACAACGCTGAGTGAGAAAAATCAGACACGAGAAGGAGCACCTTGTGCGATTACCTCAGGCAAATGACAGAGACCATTCACCGCAGGCCTGGAGTTGGCCCAGACTCCAGGAATCTTAGGGGACTGCTGGGGTGCCCTCCATGGCAGTGACACGGGTGCATGTGGGTGTGGGCGCGTGTGCGTGCAGGTGTGCACCTGTGTGTGGGAGCATGGGTACATGGTCTACACGTGTATATGCGTGGGTGTGCATGTGTGGGAGCACAGGTATGTGGCCCACCTCTGTATGTGTGTGTGTGGGTGTGGGGGAGATGCAGGTGTGTGTGGAGGGAGTGTGGGTGTGAGGCAGGTGCAGGTGTGAATGTAAGTGTGTGTGTGAGGGTCTGTGGGTACATGGGTATGGTGGGTGTACACGGGTGTGAATGCACGTGTGTGTGGGTGTGAGGCAGGTGCAGGAGTGTGGGAGGTGTGTGGGAGGGTGTGGGTGCATCATGGGTGTGGGTGTACACGGGTGTGAATGCACGTGTGTGTGGGTGTGAGGCAGGTGCAGGTGTGAATGTAAGTGTGTGTGTGAGGGTCTGTGGGTACATGGGTATGGTGGGTGTACACGGGTGTGAATACACGTGTGTGTGGGTGTGAGGCAGGTGCAGGAGTGTGGGAGGTGTGTGGGAGGGTGTGGGTGCATCATGGGTGTGGGTGTGGAGGGGGGTACGTGGGTGTGGGGAACTGGTGCGTGCATGTGTAAAGACGCCCCCAGTAGCATATTCTGGATGTGTGCACTTGGATGCATGTTAAGTTATAGTTATACCTTACAGGCAGAAATGCATTAGAATAAAAACTAATAACAAATACATGAAGAAAATTCATTCTTTAATATAACCAACAACTTAAAAATTTTTAAATGAGAATTTCATGATACCAAATAATATTTACTATATTAGCCAACTTCTTCTAAGTGATGGCAACCAATACAGGGAATTCTATGATAGTATTGGTCCACGTTATAACTTGTCCAATTCTTTTATAAGGTTCATTATAATATGTAAATAAGAACTACATAAATGTTGAAACTGAAACAATAATTTGATTTTGTGAAATCTGCCCCAAAGAATAAATGAACAAAAAAAGGTGTATTATGAAATGTTATATAGCTTTAAAAGTTATGATTAAGAGCAATTATTAATACCAAAAATGTTACAAGAGTATTAAATTTTAAAAGCAGGCTATAAAATGGCATGTGATTATATAATACCATCACACAGGAACACAGACCACAAGGGGATACAGAAAATTAGAAGTAATTTTTGTGTTGCTAGGGAATTTTTTTCCTCAGCATTTTTCACATTTCCTACTTATCAGGAAATCCATTAGCACTGAAAAAAGGGACGCACTTAAATGTACTACTTTGCAAATCTGCTCCTCTGAAACGCACCAGGGCAGCAGGCACAGCCAGCGGTTTTCTGGGTGTATCTTCAGGACAGTGCGGCGAGGCCCCCACGCTGGCCCCTCGGCCTGGCTGCAAGTCTCAGCAGACCCTCTCTCCTAGTCTCCTGCCTCCCCACAGGCTCTGCCTCTGGCTGGACCCACTTTCTCCCCATAAAGCTGTTTTCCTTCTCACGGAGACACAAGGCACAGCTTTCCAGCGGGACTCCGCTCCTCTAGGTTCACCCCTTCCAGCCAGCAAGCAGCACAGGGCAGAAGGGGGATCCATGCTCCTCCCAAGCCCATGTCTCCTAATCTGGCACACTGCAATAGAAATGGTCTTTAACCTTCATTGCCAAGCCTGATGAGTCTTGAGATTTTCCCACATCCCTTATTTTATGGTTGATTCATAGAGTAGCGCAAAGTACACATCTTCACGCACTGCTTTAACACGGGGCTGTTCAAACAGGATGCCATGAGCAAAAATAACGAAGTAATGGCTGAAATCTATATTGCACCAGGCACTATGCGAAGTATTTTATACACTTT